CCCGGGCTCCAGCTCCCCAGCCACAAGCTGGTGCCCCTGGCGCCGTTCCCCCCCTGCCCAGCACAGCCCCCTACCCAGCCTGCCCCCTGCTCCCCAAGCCCTTGGGGGGCACCCAGGGGCCCAGCATCACCCCCCTGACCCCTGCACTCCACACAGCCCCCGGCACTCACTGTTGGCCCAAGCACCAAGCTGGGGGAAGGCTTCGGACAATGGTCCCTGAGCTGCCTCCTCCGAAGGCAGAGGCAGCGGCTGGATTTAGTATTCCAGGTCTCCACCGCTTGCCCAAACGTTTTCTGGAGCCATTTGGCCGCCCAGGATCCCACTGTGCTGTGTCCCCATCGGTCCCGTGCTGGCAGCCCAGCTGTCCTGGAGAGTTCCGTGACTCAGGGACAAGAACAGGACAGGGGATGACACAGGACCCGCAGGGATGGGCAGGGGCCAGGCGTGCCTCTGGGGCACCACCCCGAGTAACTACCTCACCGCCCTGTGCCTCAGTTTCCCCACTGCCAGCTGCTATGCTTGCAGGCTGCGGGTTAGGGCACTGCAGCAAGGGTCAGACCCGCTCTGCCCCGCCTCCCCCAGCAGTCCTGATTTGGGGAAGGATAACCCAGGACCTCCATGGCAAGGTCCAACCTGGGGTCCCATGGCACCAGGACCCCAGACCCTGCCAGCCCATCTAGACAGTTAGCACAGACGGAGTGGGGCACCGGGGAGAGGAAGGTGCCTGGGCTGGGGGACCTCACCACCGCTGTCTGAGGGGGGACAGAGAGCCGGGGAGGGCTGGAGACATGCTGTGCAGAAGGATGCTGGCACCGCCAAGGTCCCGCTTCCCTCCTGGCAGACGGGACCTGGCACGAGCCTCGCACACACTCCGGCACTGGCTGCATCCTCCCGGCTGCTGCTTCAGTGCTGCTGACAGCAGGACGATGGCAAAGCCTCCCCGGCCCCCATCTTCAGTGGGGTTAGGGGACAAGTGGCATTAGGATTCGCTGCCTGGCTCCAATCCCCTCGAAGCCTCAGCCAGGCATAAATATTTCAGGGGGCTTGGCAGTTTTGTAATAACCAGCAACAAAGATAAACACCGGGAAGAGCAATATTTTTCCATGTGGGCTGGAGGAGTTTAATATTTTATCACTCAGAGCACAAAATATTTATGAACAATCTCATGTCAATCACTGGCTGAGGACTGATCATGACCTTTCTAAGCCAGGGAGGACACGTCCCCACCACGGAGGGACAGCCAGACCTCCCCTGCCCCTTGCACCCCCACCCCAAGACCCGCTTTCAGGCCACCACATCTGACCGCTGGGGAACAAGCCGTGGCCAGCCGGGCGAGGTGCTCCAGCACCTGGCATTGCCCCGGGGCACAGTGGTGGTGAGGTCCAGGCTGCTCCCTTGTCCCCAGCTGAGGGACAGGGAACTGGGACCAGCATGGGCAGCCCTCCCTGCCTGCACCTCACGGCTGCGGGACCAGGCAGATGGGATGCCAGGGAGGCACTGTGCAGGCAGGCTGGTCCCCTCTGCCACAGGAGGAGCACAGCGGTGCCAGGCCCGCCAACAGCACAGGGACCTGGCTTTACTGGTTTTACTTTCAGCACGTTCCCAAGAGGAGCAGGGACGCCACCGCCCTCCAGCCCAGCCCAGCTCGGCACGGCGGCTGGAACCCTTCCCCACTCCCCCCGCAGCTTGCAGAAGCCGGGAATGGTCCCCATGGCCCCACTGGGTTGCCTGGACAGGGAGCAAGCCCGAGCAGCAGGGATGCAGAGCCCTTGGGCAGCTCCCTGGCTCGGTCAGGGGACATGGGGGGCAGCCCACCGGCAGCCTCCACCCACAGCCCGCTCCCCGCCACGGGGCAGGACGGCGCAATCGGCCAAGAGGCAGTGAGCAATGCCACTGGCCACCAGTGAGGAAAAGCATCCACTTTATTACAGACCCCAAAAGCACCCGTGGCAGTGCCAGGAGGACCAGGTTTACACGGGATGTTTCCATTTTTCAGCAAGGGGAAGAGAAGAGGGGAACAAACCCAACCAACCCTACTCACGGCTCTTTGGTGCTAGAAAACACGCGGCGGTGCAGCAGAGAGAAGCTGTGGGTGAGAGGGGCACCAGCAGAGACGAGGGGGGACACCTCTGCCATCCACCACCGCCCCCCCGAGACGCCTGCAAGGAATTTGCAACGCACCTAGAGACACACAAACGGCAAATGCATTTCGCTGCCCCACCCAGCCTGCACCTACCCTGCGCTGCTGAGCGCTGCAGGAGAACCCCCCACCTCCCGGCATCCCCAAAACAATCAAACACCCTTTCTGCAGAGGGAGAGCGGGTCCCAGGGGGAATCAGTGACCAAAATCTCTTGGCTGAAAAGGAGGTGGGGAAGGCGGCTGGTTCCCAGTAACTCAGACCCTGGTGGGAGGCGAGGCAGACAGGTCTCCACTTCACTCTTCTCCTCTCTCGGCAGCGATGGGCTCCTTGGTCCACTTGTCTGTGACCTCCTGGTTGCCTGCGTAGCCCATGTCGGGCAGCAGGCCTGGGGCTCCCTCCCCCTCCCCAGTGACCTCCAGGTCCAGCTCCTCAAAGGAGGAGCCGCTGGCTCCTGACTCGCTGTAGCTGTGCTCGCTGCGGTTGTCCACTTCCTCCCGGCCACGGCTGGCTGGGAAGGGCAGCAGGATGGAGGTGGCCACCGAGGTGTCTCTGCTGTCGGTTGTGGCCTCCATGCTGATGGAGCTCGTCTCACTCATGGTGTCAGCCCCTGGGATGGAGAGAGAAGGGGAGGGAGTGAATGCTGCGGGAAGGAGGCGATAGGGATGGGGTGCCACAGCCTTTGAAGCCATCAGAAACCTCAGAGACAACAGGCCACAGTGGAGACCAGCTCCTGCCTCTTGTCACCTCCTGTGCCTTTGAGAAATGACTGGGCCAAGACAAGCACAAGCTGGACTCAAGCAGCTCCCTGAAATCAGGGCACCCCCAAGCTGGCACAAACAACCCCTGGCTTCCCAGCCATGCCCTGACCTCCTGGCCATACCCTGGCCCCACTGCTGTTCTCTGCGCACACACCGAGGACCTGGCAAGCCCTTCTTTAGGGAGAATGCCCGGCCTGGGAGCTGGGGGACAACCCTGCCCCCAGCATGGCACCAGGAACGAGGCGAGGAGCGGGACGCTGTGCTGCGAGGGTGATGGGGAGCTGCAGCATTGCTTGAGCACCCAAGGGGAAGGTGGCACACGAGCAGGTCCTCGGATGTGCTGCTGTCAGGGGCGGGTGTACGTCCAGCCTCATGCCAGGGCATCGTAACGCTGCCTTCAGCACCCCCTACAACCCATTCCCGCTCCCTGCATGGCTCCCCCACAGCTGTCAGCTCCAGCAGCAGTGCAAAGGCAGGCAGGGCAGCGGCAGACGGGACTCGGGGTGCCAGAGGATGGGGGGAGCCTTCCTAGCTCACTAGGCACTTCTCCACATCACCCGGCTGCCAGCCCACACCCCCTCTCACAGCTGAGCTCCCCTGGGGGCTGCCCCTGCCTGCCCGGGCAGACCCCTCGGCCCACCGCCCCCTCCCCGGATCCCTGCCTCGTTAGCTCGGTCAACAACACAATTAAGGAGTCGACAAGGAGACGAGCATGTCAGATTGAGACCAGCAGCTCGGTGCTGTTGCCGGAGCAACCAGCCAGGAGACAAAACACTCCTGTAAAACATTAATCATTGTTAATTATGACATCACAGATCCACGTGGTTAATTATGACATCAAAGATCCACATCACTGATTACGACATCGCAGATCCATGTTGTTAATTATGACAGCAGCAGCAAACACTAGGCGGTCCTCCCTGCTCCACTCTTCCTGCCTGCCTCGCACCGGCAGGAAGCACGTGCCGGGCTCGGCTGCTTCCCGGCACCTTCGCTCCCCCAGGGCTCCATCCATGCCGGGCCGGACGCCCCTGCCGAGGATCATGCGCAGCACCAGGAGGGAAACCAGGAGGAGCCCTGCTTGGCAGCAGCACCAGCAGAGGACCGCAGCTTGCCACCAGCAGGGCTGGGAAGTGGCAAAGAGGATGGTGATGACCGCAGAGGGACTCCCAGGCAGGAGAGGAGAGCCCTCTCCTCCACGCTGGCTCCTGTCGGCACGGCTCCATCCCTAGACACCGGCATGGGGCTGCCCTGGGCTCCCACAGGCATCTCCAGCCTCCCCAGGCTCCTGCAGCCGGGGTGCCCGGGGCTGAGCTGCTCGCCCTCCTCCAGCTGCACGGCAGCCACCAATCTCCTGGAGGAGACCTGCCGGGGAGGGAACTTTCCTTCCAAACACCCTTAAATCCCTTTTTTTGCTGTTTTTCTTCCTGGCCTGGGCAGCTGCCAGCAGAACTGCTTGCAAATGGCAGTCCTCTGCCTTCTGAGCAGTATCATCCCACAGTCCTGCCGGCTGAGCGAGGGCCATTCGGAGAGGACCGAGCAGTGGTAGCAGGACGAGGAGCAGCTGGTAAAGACCCACAGACACAGCATACCCGCTGCTTCATCTCACCTGGATGGTGTATTGGCTTCATCCTGCCCGGATAGCGTATCGGCTGCATCCTGCCCAGCGGGTGCCCAGAGAGGGGCCTGAGCCTCCACCCTCTCACCTCAGCCATGGCACGCAACCGCTTTGGCAGCTGGCACGAGCTAAGCCCTGGGCAACCAACCAAGCAGCGCCTGGTGACCCCCCCAAGAAAAGGAGAAAAGAACCACCACCCACCAACATGTGCCGCCTTTGCTGCAGCATCAGGGAGCACCTCGACACGGAAACTACATTTACTCTAAGTTAAAAAGGATGTTCTGCACGCTGCCGGTGAAGCGCTCACTGAAGGGGATGGTGGCCACCGAGCGGGCAGCAGAAAGGCAGGAGATGCTGTCCCACCTGGCAGGACCTCGGCCGGGCAGTGTGTCAGCAGGGAGCCTCTGGGAAGATGGAGAGCTGTGGGGGATGGAGGGGAGCGCGCGGTCCCTGAGCCTTGAAGCCAGCTAAGGGTTTGCAAGGCCTCTAGCGGGGATCTCAGTAAAAAAAAAAAAAAGAAAAAAATCCAACTTGGCCTAATTGGTGACCTGAGGTGACACGGACACATTCCTACCATGGCTTCATGACAGCTCACGTCATTCACGGTCATCTCGCATCCCTCTGAAACCTGGGACAAGAGCGACCCCGACCCCCCAAAGCCATGCCCTGCCTGCACAGCACCCCTCCCGCATCACCCCGGGGGCCGTTTCGGCTGGGAAGCCATCACGTAACCCCATACCACAAAACAAAGGATCTCTTGAGGAGCGGAGCAGCAGCTCGGGAAGGAGAAGACAGGGATGAAGACAACCTACGTGCTGCTCCAAGCTGCCACCATGGGAAAGCACCGCTGTCCTCACCCCTGCAGCCGTCTCCCTCTCTCCCACTCCAAGGGCGACAATAAATCAAGTCCTGTTTCCCTTCAGCCAGGCACTTTTTCACCGCTCTGTCACTTCTGATCATGTTTGAGCAGCCTCAGCTGGCAAATTTGCCCATTTCAGCAGCCTTGCTTTCCTCCGTGCAGGACAAGGCTGGCTCCGGCGTGGCCACCCAGCCTGGCCAGGAATGGATGGCCGGGGCGGGCAGGACAAGAGATGGAGCCACTGCTGCTGAGGACAGTGCAGGGTCAGCTCTGGCAGGGGGATGTGGCAGGAACCCCCAACTGTCCCAGCACAGCCCGGAGAGGCCAGGCAGGGAGTGCGGCAGGGCTCCAAGAGGGCAACCAAAGCCTTGTTGGAAGGTGCCTTGTGGGTGAGCAGGGGTTCAGCTCTCATCTCGTGGGCAGAGGTTTCCATCAGCTCTTGCACCCACTTCTCCATCCTGCCCCAGACACTTTGCTTGGTCCCCCAGCGAGCCGCTGCCATCCCCCGCATCCCACTTCCCAAGGCTGGTCCCGGCACCGGGAGCCGGCCCAGCACTCAGATCCAGTGCGGCTTTTCCCTCTGGCAAGCAGTGAGGTGCCGGCTATCCCGTGGAAGCCCCCTCTCTGCTCTGCTCCCCTGAGGACGGCATAGCCATCGGGCTGCGCCTTCACTCAGCAGGAACGGGGAACCTGAGAAGTTTTAACGTGGGAAAAAGGCACAGCCTGGGCTGAAGCCCCACCAGGGTGTTGAGGAGACCCCCAAAGGCCAGGGCCACCTAGGAAGATGGGAAGCCAAGCAGCCAACACCAAGATACCACCCGGGGATGGGTACAACAGGAACCACTCACCCCACGCTGTTAACAAGCCCAGCAGGGAGCACACCCCCCCCCAGGCAACTCAGCCCTGTGCTACCCCAGGTATCGGCATCCCCAAATCCCCCTGGGAAGGACCGGCTCCCCTCATACATCACCCCAGCAGGACACTGATGCCTGAGTGTCGCTCCCCTCTTGGTGCACCCAGGCCCTCTCTTTCCCCCTGTTCAATCAAGTACTCATCACTTCTGCCACTAAATAATAGATCAATGCACTGCCAGGAGGGGCGCAGCTCCTCTGCGCTTGCCGAAGCTCGCACACAGCCATCAGGAGAGGGGCTGAGGCAGGCACACCAGCAGGAAGGCAGGGCACGAGCTGCCCGCTGAGACCCTTCTCGGGATGTACAGGCAGGCAGAACAGGCAGGACTCTTCAGAGGATGGAAGCAAGCAGGGATGAAGTGGAGTACGTCAGGCAAGGTGCCCCCCCACGGCACTGGGGCTCAGCAAGTGACGCCACCGGTTGCACCCAGATGCTGCTGGACAGACTCAGCTCCAGGAAAATGAGCATCTGAGACTCTGGGCAGAGCCACGTGCTTAGAAACCATCTGTGTTCATGCCAGCAAGCCCGTCTTGAGAGGCTGCTTTTGTTTGCTTTCACCTTCCACGCGCCGCAGCGGGGTCACACTGGAGAGCACGCTGCTGAGAGCGAGCCAGGAGCGAGGGCCCGCTGAGCGCTGCGCTGATGCCAAAGCCCCGGAAAATAATTAAGTACAAAACAACTAATCGTGATTGACACTGGCCCCTGGAGACCCATCAGCCACCTTCCAAAAATGCTTCCCGTCTTTCCGATGACCGTGACAACGGCGAAGGAGGGACGAAATTGGTGCAGAGGCAGCCGCAGCCCCCGGCCCCTTTCTTGCGTGCCGAGAGTGTTCATCCTCAGCAGAGCTGCCAGCACCCTGCTCTGCACAGAGCGGTGGCAGAAAGCAGAGACCCTGGGCCGCATCCCGCAGCTTCTACGGCCATTGGCTTCGCTCGGAGCCACAGGCACCCAGCACCTTGCAGGGTGAGCTCAGGAGCAAGGAGGACAGCAGATGACAGCCTAAATGGAGAGATGCGCTCCAAGGTCAGGAGGCTCAAGAAAACAAATCCAAGCTTTTCTTGCACACCCAAGTCGCTTGGTTCCACCTGGCACCAGCCACACCGACAGGCGAGGAGAAATGGCAGCACCTTCCGCTGGGAACTCCTGAAGTCTTTAATTTGAGGAAAGCGTAATACAGCTGCTGGTGGGGAGTTTCATGAACCGTGACCGAAAGGTGCTGCGTCCACACAGAGCATTACTAAATATGACGCTCGCTCTGAAATCGTGTGCTCATTGCTGTTATTTCAGTATTTTGTGAGAGGAAGGGAAGAGTGGGCTTCATCTGCTGCCACATCAGCAGTGAGAGCCCAAGGCTGCCACGCGTAGAGCATCTTCAGCTGCCTCAGGGAGAGGAAAAGGGGCTCAGCACCTCCCCAGCCCCCCCGCTCGCCCTGCAAGGCAGCAGGGTGTCAGGGCCCCGCATCTGAATTTGCACTGCTTAGGCAGGGCCAGAGGAGCCAAGTGCCACCGGCAGGGACCACCACCCTCTTCCACCCTCCCATGAGCATCCCAGCACTGCCTGAGCCTCCGTCAGAGCAGGACCGCTTGAAACACTGGGAGAGCTGAGATGGATCAAGAAATAACCCAAATCCACGCAATTGGGGTTGAGGGGGGACCGCACTGAAAAGCAGACGGGGACGTTGCTGCACCCCCCCTCCAGCTGGCAGAGGAAAGCTCGAAAGCTGTCACAGACACCTGGGGATCTGCAGGGTCATCATGCCTGTTGAAGGCGTCTCCCTTGAGCAGCTCCCCAAGGAAGAAGGGAGTAAAAAAGGATGGGAAAAGAGATTGTGGCTTTCTCTTCCTCCAACTCAGAGGTGGTTGCACAGATCCCAGCACAGAAAATACTTGGGAAGGGAGGACCAGTCTCAATCCATAAGGCGTCTCTTTCAAGGCGACGTCTTCAAGGCGACATCTTCAAGGCATCTCCAGCGAGCAGCTGGGCAGAGAGGAGATCTGCTGGCTGCCCCCTCCAGAGGGATCTCCTCTCACACTGAGGCTCAGAAAACCCACGCGGCACTTCGGTGTCGAGATGTGGAGCCTGGGGAGACCAGCTGCCACCTCCCACCTCGCCTCCCGACTTTGACCCTGCTGCTGCACCACGGGCAGCCCGACGGCCGCTCAACCACTGCAGCTGGGGCAGCGCCGCTGGCAGCAAACCAAGTCCCCAGCATCAGCAGGCCAGCGGCAGTGGGACAAGGATGCTCACCGGGCACTGTCTCCCTTTGCACAAACCCAGGACCTCCCCACGGGGTGCCACCCTCCCCAGGTGACAGCAGTTGTGCTGACCTGGGGCACCACGATATTAAGGGGATGCAGGAGATCATGGGGACCTCCAAGATCCTCAGGCAGGAGCAGCACGAGCAACCCGAAGGCTTGCCATGTCCTCGGCCCTCTCCAGTGGCCGCAGCAAGGATGTGATGCCCCGCCAGACCTGGTTCTGCTGCTTTGCCCAGCAGTGACAGCGATCACAGTGCCGACATCCAAGCTCAACTCTTTAGTCTGAGAGGCAAGGCCAACCTCTCACAGCTATTATTATTTTAAGCTGGTTTTGTGCATACTCAGCAGATGACACTGCATCAGATTGCACCTACAAAAGCTCATCTGTGCGACTGGAAGGGGAGGGGTGGTAGAGGAGCTATCAAGAGCTGCTGCCGGGGAGCCTGGCCCGGGGCAGGGGTCTCCCACATGAGAAAGTCCAACATCATTTGCCATCTAAAATTGGAAAAACCTTCCCAGCCCTTCTTCCAGCAGGGCAGGGGACTCCCCCACCGCGGGTGCGCCGGCAGTGGTGTCCCTGGGAAAGCACCGAGACAGCTGGGGCACAGGGCAGCAGCTGCACCGAGCATCCTCCGGCCATGCCACGGGGCCATGCACTCCCTGAGCGGTGCGGAAAGGAGCACACGCAGCTGCCGGAGCCACCGACCTGAAGCAGCTTTTGCTCACATGGGTCCTGCCACCCCTCTCCAAAACCACGGGGCAACCGTGGGAAGGTGCCAGAGGGAGCGGGCTGCGAGGGGCCTTCGGCCAACCCGGGCCGGTGCCCAAAGCAGCCACCCTGACGCAAGGCAGACAAAAAGGTGAAGAGCTGAGTGAGCGCTGTGAAAACACGGCACCTTGAAGCACTGGGAAACTGCTCCAATTAGACTCTTCATTGCAGCGCTAAATGGACAGAGCTCCCAGAAAGCAACTTCCAGGCTTGCTTTTACGTTGCACGCAATTAAGAATTAAAGCAATCCAAACCTAAAGATGTGTTAAATAAAATGACCAAACTCCCTGGGAGGCGAGGAGAGCCGTCATGGTTTTTTCATGCCCATTACACAAGCGCGGGCAACCTAGGTGGCAGGAGGAGGCGGCTGCCCCTGCCAGAGGCCGGCTCAGACGCGCCATCCAGCGCCCGGGAACGCTCGGCTAGCCGGCTCCCACATCTCGCAGACATGTGAGCACGTGGGCCGGCGACGGCAACTAGCATTTCAGGTTACTATAGCACTGCTGTTCTGCGCCTACAGCCACTGTGGTCCCTTCCTGTATGAATACATCCAGGCTCCAACAGATCTCGCTGAGCAGATGCTATCGGGCAACTCCACCACCAGCTACAGCAACCTGGTATTTAAGCTCTTCGCAATCCCAATATGTAACAGATGAAGATGAGATCAAGAAAGATGTATATGACAAGGAGAAAAACAAGCCCAGCTGCAACCAAAAGCTGCGAGATCCAGCTCTGCTCTGACAACAGCGGGCCAGTGGCTCGGCGGCAGCTTGGCCCTCGCCCTGATGCCGCAGGGGTGCCCGGGTACTCCCTGAGGTGCGGTGTGACACCCAGGGGATGAGATCCTATCAGCCGGGGTGAGGGGAAGAGGTGTGCTGAGACTCAGTGGTTGGGCGCCAGGTGGGCGCAGGTCGGCCCCTCTCTGCTTGCTCAGGTGGCAGCACCAGGGACACCAGGACCCCCGCCTTTGAGAGGGCTGATGCCGATCAAAGACGGAGCCTGTGCATAAACCATGGATACCTGTGATGTCTGTCTGGGCATCCTCGGCCTCAGCTGCGGCAGCCCTGCTCTTCCTCTCCAGTTCTTTCATTTCAGGCACATAGAAGTCCCCTTGGCGGGCGAGGGGACACACGAAGTAGATGCGGTCCTCCTTGTAGATCTCGATCCGGGGGTGGGCACACAGCTTCCTCTCCTGAAAGACAGCAGGCGACCGCAGGTCAGGGATGTGGCCTCAACCCCACCCCAGCAGCCCCCCACCACGTGGACCTGCTGGCCTGGCAGCGTTGCAGACTGACCCGCTTTGCCCACAGACATCGGGGCCCAGCGAGGACCAGTGGGTCCCATCCCGAAACCGCAGTGCTGCTTTCCCTATCACAACAGCCCCCCCGCATGCCAGGGCCGGCAGGTTCGGCCCTGGGGGTGAGCAGCCGGCTGGGCTCAAGGAGGAGATGCCGAAGCCCCAGGGAGACTCAGATCCCCCGGCTCAGCCTCGGTTTTGGTGTGCTTATTTTGGGCTGGAGCGAGGGGTTTCAGGGAGCCCGGCAGCTGCTTTGCACGGACCTGCCAAGTCTCCAGTTCCTCCTGGCAGCACGGCCCCACGAGCAGGCGTAGCACTTCTCCACTAATTAATATAATCCAGAGCCGACAGCTCAAGCAGCTCTTTTCAGAACGGCGAGGTCAGGGGGAGTGGGAGATGAATCCCTGGCATTTCAGACAACTCCCCCTCCTCCTCTTCCTCGCCCCACCTCCCCCTGGCAGCACACTTCAAGACCTCAGCCCCCCCAACCTGCCAGGGACCCATGACGGGGGCATGTCCTCCCTGGGTTGTGCCCCGGCCCACGCCAAGCCAGGGCTGCGGGGACTCTTGGGGTGCCGGGGCAACCCTCTTGCCACCCCCTCCTCGCCCGCCCGCCCGCCAGCTGCTCGCTGGCAGAGGGTGAGGCTGATCACAAGCCGGGTGAGAAGGAAGAGTGTCTCTTCAGCGGGTTTTCTTTTTCTGTTTCCCCCTTTCAAATCACTGACAGCTTTTATTTAACCTTGCAACCACCCCAATTATCATCCTCCTCCTCCCTGCCCCAACTATCCTCTTCCTCCTCCTTGCCCTCACTATCCTCCTATTCCTCACTGACCCAACGATCCTCCTCTTCCTCCCTGCCTCAACTATCCTCATCCTCCTCCCTGCCATGTCCCCCCTGGCACGGCTTGCCCGGACATCCTCCGGCAGGGTCCCCGTCCCTCCAGGGCAGGCCCCTCTCCAAGGACGAGCTCTATGGACACATCAATGATGACCCCACAAAAGCCTGTTCATTCCTGACCAAGATGATTTCGAATCATTTATTTCCCAGCCAAATGCCGGCACCAGGCAGAATCCACAACAGACGGGAGCCAATGCCGACCCTCTCCCTGGCGCTGGCAGCAAGGCCACCTGGAGAGCCACCTCCATGCTGGCAGGATGCTGCACAAGCAAGACAGGGAGAAAACCCCACGTGAGCCGTTTTCGGGTCTATTTTCCCAGGAAAGCCTGCAGGAGCTGGGTCTGCAGAGCCCCAGTTTACCCAGCGGCACGACAGCAGCAGAAACATGAACCCCAGCAGAAGCTTCACCCATCGTGTCCCAACGCCTTTGAGCCTGAATTTCAGCAGAGTCCCTGCTCCAACCGAGGAGGAACCACATTCGCAAGCCCCGTGCCGCAGGGACGCGCAAGGACGCAGGCGGACTTCCAAGGCGCTTGGAGCCCGGAGTTCCCACTCGCATGCAGGTGAAACACTAACACACGCAGATCAAAACTGTATTAAATAAAAACAAGCTGGGCTGTTTTTAGCAGCAGAGCAGAGGCGGCTCATATCACTCCTGCTTTTTCAGCAACAACGCAGACAAGAACCCTCCCCGCCGCTCTGCCCCTTGCTCTACCAACCACAAGCCATCAGCCAATAAATAAAAACAAGCTGGGCTGTTTTTAGCAGCAGAGCAGAGGCGGCTCATATCACTCCTGCTTTTTCAGCAACAACGCAGACAAGAACCCTCCCCGCCGCTCTGCCCCTTGCTCTACCAACCATCAGCCAATCTTCAGCTCGGTTCGTTATTTTAGATTACTGCAACACATACCAGAGATGGGTATCTCCAAGATTCGCAGGTTTTTTGGATGCATCCAGCTGGCCCTCCACCACTTAATACAGACGGGGACAACTCAAAGGATCTTAGAGCAAAGAGACCTTCACTAAATTCATATGAGGTCTCTAACCCGTCTAAAACCTCAGGGCTCCAGTCCTGCCTCCAAGACATCCCAAGCTGACTTCCCAAAGCCCACCCTGGGATTCCTAAAGAGTGGATCTGGGACATACCCTACAATTTATCTAGGCTGCTACAACTCCCCTTCCAATTACACAGCCATCGTAGTGACTCCCCCAAAGCACAAACAACGCCCCCTCCACGCACACGAAATGTGGGAATTGTGGCTTTTTAAGGAATAAAAATGCACACCCGTATGAAGACCGGGGTCCCGGACTGGCTCTTGAGCCAAATGCTGCTTCACACTCAAGGATTATCCTATAAGAGAGACGAGGATGCTCCACCCTGCCAGGGTGGGAAGCAGCTTTGTCTCCCTGAAGCCAGAAGAGCCCAGGTGCCCTGCAGCCAAAGCCCACGGCCATGGACCAGGTCGGTGGGACAACGGTGAAGTGGCCGGACCCTCACTGTCAATACCAACGCCTGCCTCGTTACGGACAGCTGCAAGGATGTTCGTCCAGGGTTTTCCCCAAAAGGAAATGGAAGGAAACCAGAGCCTGGTGGTCCTAATTTATGCCTGTACAAATCAGGTTGGGAGCCAGGCTAGTGAGCTGGCCTCTGCTTCTGCGCTTCTTCCTGGAGCAACCCAGCTCCAGGCAGGGCTGCTGCAGAGCTCAGCACTGGCAGCCGGGCTCAGGAGAGGACAATGTCCCCAAGAAGGAGCAGGGAGGTGGCAGCTGGGAACGCTGTCCCATCTGGGCTGGGACCAAAGGGATAAGGCTGCATAAAGACTTGAGGAAAGGGGAGAGGTGATGAGGTGGGGAGCCAGGACAACAGAAATGGGTAAGGGGGTCATAAAAAAAAATGGATAAGGGGATCATCCAAAGGGGATGCAAGGGAGATCACCCTTGTGATCATCCCAAAGGAGACCAGGAGGCAGGCAGAGGCCAGGCAAGCACAGGCAGAGGTATAGCAAAGTGCAACCAAGAGGCGGGTGTCAGCACAGGACAGAGCAGGTTTAGGATTATCCCAGCGGAGAGGAAGGCTGCAAGGCTGCTGCAAGGGGAAGAAACAACCCAGAGAGACTGAGAGCAGAGTCCAAAGGCGAAGGCGTAAGCAGAGAGCGAATTAGCGAAGGCTCAACAACATGGCAAAACAACAGAGATGCTCAACAGGCAATAATACACTCTGCAGCTGAGGACGAAGCCCCTCGCTAACTGTACAGCTAAGCCAACAGATGGAGCAGCAAGGTGGACGTGGAGTTTGCAAGGCAGAGCCCTCGAGTCAAATCAAATGCAGCCTCACACGGGCGAAGGAGCTCAGCGAGAGGTGAACAGTGGGACGCTGACAGCATCGGGGCCAGGCTTCTGGCTAGGACAGCAGGACCCAGTAAGTAGGGCAGGGAAGGGGACTCATCCTTTCACAAGGTCGTGCTGTGCCACCTCCCTTCTCAGCCTCCGCCGGGAGCTTGCCCTTCTTACGGCCAGCAAAGATGGAGGCGGCAGCGCAGCGTGCAAGGCTTATTTCTATGCAGGACTCTCCACCAGGCACCCGAAGCATGGGATTTATTGCACATAATCCATACAGTCAAGCTACACGTACACAGCAAAACCAATGCATCCAGAGCCCACCAGTTCAGTCCTGACATTCACAGCAGCTCCGGTGTACTCCTGCTATGTCAGGCCTGCTGCTTCCCATGAAGCCAACTCCTTCTTGGCCCATCCGAGGGCCATGGTGGGGTGCTGCTCACCATTCTCTTGGGAACAAGGGTTTATGTAGGGGAAGACTCTTGCACTCCTCTTTCCCAGGTGAAATAACACCCCACCCAATCTTTACCCCTGGGTTGTTTCCAAATCACCCACCACCCCTGACTCCCTGTAAGACTTTCTCCAGGTTGACCTCATCCCTCTAGGAATGGAGCATCCCCCGGCCTCGTGCATCAGAAAGGACGACAAGGATTATGTGCTGAACCAGCATTTTGGGAGACCTTCCCCAGCAGCGGGAGGTGGCACCTCCCCAGCAGCACAAATTTTCCTCTCCCCACTTGTCCATTAAGGAATAGACCCCATCGTCTGCCCACGGAACAACTCGGGCACGGCCTGTCGGCCAGAGGATGCCCCCATTTCCCCAGGCGGGCAGGAGAGCAGTCCCAGGGCTACAGGACATGTGACAAGGTGGCTGAGACATGACCTGCAGTCATTAAAATCCCAGCAGAATCGTGCCAAAATGGAAGGAGGTGGCAGGGTGCTCACACCGCGCCGTGCCCCTCGGTGCTTGCCGGGAAGCAGAAGGCGAGCTGGGGCACTGCAGGGACTGGCTTTGTCAGTCTGTCAGGCTCATCTGCTCAGGAATTCAAATGCCACCAACTGGATCTGCTTCATCTCCCACTGCTGGAAAAATTCAGCTTGTTAGGAGACCAGCAAACGAGCCTTGCGGATGCTCTCGGGATCCTCGCCATGCCCGGGCATGCTGGCGCTCAGGCTCCAGCTGAACCCACTGTCTGCCCCAAAACACTTCTAGGGTCACTGGGAAGGCGGTGGGGAGGCAGCTGCTGTCCTCGCCCTGCTTCTGGCCACAAGCCCTCCAGCCCCACAGCCTCCCTGACTCGTCACCGAGACCTCCTGGCATGGCTCACGCAGTGATGGTTAAGCCATGCCAGCCTGCTGAGACGCTGTTTCAGGGCCGATGGCTGTGAGAGCAGTAGGGGAGAGGCTTTTCATGCCACCACCGAGCTTCCTGCTGGAGCAGGGGCCGGGGCTGAGCTCTCCGTGCTGCCCAACAGCTCCTGGCTCACCGCAGAGACGTCCGCCTCACGCCCCAGCCGCCAGTGTGCCATATGTATACAGCCATCACCTGCGCCTGTCACCAACCCCTGCCAGAGGACCTCCTGCCTGCCGTGCGTAAAAAAATGCCCGTAAAACCCAGCCAGGACTGGAAAAGTCATGGAGAGCAAGGGACCAGTCACCT